AGACGCAAGGAGCAGCACGAGGGGACAGCTTGTCCGCAGACAAGTCGCGGACAAACGCCCGAGATCCCCAGACACGGAACGCAGACGCATCGCCAACCTTCCCCGTCCACAGCAAAGCTGGGGAGGTCTCCGGCCTGGAGACCCTAGGGTGAAGGTTGATCTGATGCGCCGCGTACCGAACCGCAAACGGCCACAGAAAATGGGGGGCAGCCGCATGCATCATGGACGTATGGGCGACGTCCATGACCATGCCAATGCGGCGCTCAGCAATCCCATTTTGCTGTGGAGAGTCCGGAAGCGTGAAGGTCTGGCGGATGCCTCGTGCACGACAGTAGGCTCGCAGAAGGCCAGAGGAGAACTCTCCACCTCTGTCAGAGTGCAGACGCAGAACAGGAAAGTCCGAGCCGAAGCTCTGCCTAAGCTGGAGACGAGCTGCGCGGATCCAGTCGATCAACACCTCAGTGACATCACCCTTGCTGCGCAAGGGGAAGACTGTGGTGTAACGCGAGTAGTCGTCAACCACCAGCAGGAAGTAGCGCTCGTGACCCTGTCCACGGACGCGGGCCGGGCCCCACACGTCCATGTGAAGCGTCTGCAGCGGGGCCTCTGTCGGAGGAAACTGGGAGGAGTGAGGGGCAGCCCGCTGCCGCCCCTCGACATAGGGGACGCAGGTAGGGCCAGGCCCCGGAGGAAGGGGAGGTAGGGACCGGGGAAGACCAGAGACAAGGACACGGGAGGCCATGCCTCGGAGACGAAGCAGGGAGGGGTGACCAAGGCGGTGGTGCCAGAGGAGAGTCTCGTGAGACAAGAGGCGACACGAACAGGGGGCAGACTCAGGACCAGACCTGGACGCTGCAGCAAACACCTGACCCGACGCAGCTACCTGACCAGACGCAGTGACTGGAGGAGACGCAGTGGTCAGGGTGTACAGGCTCGACCCCGGCCGACGGGTAAACGTGGCCAGGTGTCGGCCAGTCCGAGCGTCCGTGCAGTGGGTCACCCGCTGACTCGCAGGAGTGAACTGGTGAACCCCCGCATCCTGTAGGTCAGCACCACTCACCAAGTTCGTAGAGAACGAGGGGAGGTAAAGACCAGACAGGGTGCCAGAGGGGGCCGCCGGACACGGGAGGACAGTGGAGAAGTGAGCAAGGACAGGACCCCCAGAGGGGTCTGCCAGAGAGACCGCAACTGGCCGGCCAAGCGGCGTGAGTGTGGTGCGGTCTCGAAAGAAGGAGCGAGAAGCCCCCGAGTCAAGGGTGAAGGTGTGGGAGGCCGAAGCCGACGCAGAACCTGAGAGAGCAGACTCACCAGCACCTGAGGGAGCAGACGCACCTAGAGCAGCAGCCTCGCTAGCACCTAGAGCAGCAGCCTCACCAGTACCTAGAGCAGCAGTCTCAATGCCCGGGTCGGGCGGAAAACACCGGTAACAGTCACCCTCATCACTAATAGTCACAGTATACATAGCAGCAAGAATAGCATCAAAGTCAAGGTCAAAGACAGCGACACCCGCCCTAGACAGCTCACCCCAGCGGGGGATCTCAGTGGCCTCAGGGAACTGGTGACGCCAAGCGTCCGTCAGGCGGCCAAAGCAGCGCTGGGTGGAGTGCGCACCCCCGCACTGCTCACCCGCGCGGTCGCCGGTGCGCAGGACGTAGGTGCACGGACCAGTACCCCCACCCCGCTGGCGTGCAGCGTACCACTCACGGAGCTGCTGAGGGGGGGGGATGTCACGAGTGCGCTGCTGCTGCTGCTGCTGCTGGCGCTGACCACCACCGGAGCCGACCCTCTGCGCAGCGCCACCCCGACCAGCTCCACCTCCTCCGCCGCCGCCTCCTCCACCGCCGCTACCTCCGCTCCCACCGCCACCGCCGCCGCCGCCTCCGCCTCCACCGCCGCCACCGACACCTCCACCCCCACCACCACCCCCACCGCCACCCCCACCCCCTCCACTGCCTCCACCGCCGCCTCCACCGCCCCCGCTAGCTCCTCTAGTGCCCCTGCCCCCCTTGCCCTTGCCAGGGCGGCGTCTCCCGCTAGGGGTAGACGCTGCACCGACCGACTCAAGCCCAACGAGGTCGGCCGCAGCAGCAGAGGCAACAGAGGGCAAAAGGGGGGAGGGGGAACACCCCTCAAAGATGGGGGTGCGAGGGTCACCACGAGAGGCTCCTACAGCGACTATGCTCTTCTCTGCTGCTAGGAGGGACTTCTCGAGGAGGTCAACGGTGAGAGTGGTGGGGCAAACTGAGAGGAAGTGGTCCCTGACTACGCGAAGGGAGTCAGGGAGCCGGGTGACTATATAGTAGAGGGTGATGTACATGGGGGGGGGGTTCTTGGCGCAGAACTCAGCAGGAAGCGCAGCGCGGTAGCGAGTGTCACTAGTGCGGAGGTGCGTAATGAGGTCAGCGACTGTGGGAAAGGCAGCAAGGTCAGGGAAGAGGTACGGTAGCATGAGGCGGCTCAGTGCAGCAGTGGCAGGGGAGGAGTAGCGCGCAACTACAGCGTCGTACAAGGTGTGAGCACTCTTGTACTGGCTAAAGTGCGCACGCTCAGAGGTAGGCAGGTGGCGACGCACAGCAAGACGTGCAGCAGCATCGCGCGTGGCCCACTGTGAGCGAACAGTGGCGTCAGCATCAGCAGCGGGGGCAGGGGAGGCACCAGAAGTGAGGTCAAAGAGGGAGAGGCCGTCTGCTCTGTCGCACTGTAAGAAAAGCTGCAGGTCATCTATCCAGACGTCAAAGTCAATGGCCCGACCCTCAGCGTCAAAAGCGAGGACACTAGGGGTAGCCATGACAGCAGTAGACTAGCAGCGCAAACAGTAGGGTGAGGGCAGTGCTGTGAAAGAGGCGCTGCTCTTACCGGACAGGGCGGCTCGGGTGGCTCGGCTGCAGGGCGGCTCGGCGGCTCGGCTGCTGGGCGGCTCGGCGGCTCGGCTGCAGGGCGGCTCGGCGGCTTGGCTGCTGGGCGGCTCGGCGGCTCGGCTGCTGGGCGGCTCGGCGGCTCGGCTGCTGGGCGGCTCGGCGGCTCGGCTTCTGGGCGGCTCGGCTGCTGGGCGGCTCGGCGGCTGGGCGGCTCGGCTGCTTGGCGGCGCGGCGGGGCCGCTGAGAGGGCGGCGTCCGGGGCCGCTGGGAGGAGGCGGCGAGGCCGCTGAGAGGAGGCGGCGGGGCCGCAGGTAGGTGGCGGGGCCGCTAGTAGGTGGCGGGGCCGCAGGTAGGTGGCGGGGCCGCGGGTAGGTGGCGGGGCCGCTGGTAGGTGGCGGGGCCGCAGGTAGGTGGCGGGGCCGCTAGTAGGTGGCGGGGCCGCACAGGTAGGTGGCGGGGCCGCACAGGTAGGTGGCGGGGCCGCACAGGTAGGTGGCGGGGCCGCGGAGGGCGGCGACGAGCCGTAGGGGGCCGTGAGGGGCCGCGGGAGGGGCCGTAAGGGGCGTAAGGGGCCGCGCGAGGGGCCGTAAGGGACGGCGCGAGGGGCCGTAAGGGGCGGCACGAGGGGCCGTAAGGGCGGCGCGACGGGCGCGACGGGCCGTAAGGGCGGCACGAAGGGCCGTAAGGGCGGCGCGAAGGGCCGTAGGGGGCGGTGCGACGAGCCGTGAGGGGGCCGCTAAGGGCGACGCGACGGGGCCGTGAGGGGCCTAGCGAGGGCTCGACGGTAGGGAGAGCACACAGGGCGCGACTCGGGCCTGAGCGAAGCGCGCTCCGGGCAGGAAAAAAAAAATTTCGTGGTGGTGGGCCCTAGGAATAGTTCCCACTAGGGAACCTGCTCGATACCATGAGAAGAAACGAGGAAATGAGAATGACTAAGGGAAAGTTGGGTACAAATACAAACCCTAGAAAACTGTACCCCATATGTGCTACCCCACTATAGCCTACAGTAGCTCTGTCATATAAATCTGACACGTCCTTGACTCCTACCACGGTCATCTCACGGACGAAGTGAAGGAGAAGTTCGTCGACCTCGACATCGTTCCGGCGGTGATCCCGTCGGGCTGTACGGCGGAGGTACAGCCCCTCGACGTCTCGATCAACAAGTCCTTCAAAGCAAGCATCCGCCAGCAGTACCAGACCTGATTTGAAGAGGACGGCCAGGAGCGGCTGACGCCTGCAGGTAAGAACCCCACCGTTGATCCCTAATTGGCTGCTCCGTTTCCCGGTGTATACTGTGCTAACACCATCTCCCACACTCTGACTTGTGGTGCAGGGAACATCAAGAAGCCGCCCCCTGCGGTGGTGCTCAGGTGGATCTCACGGGCCTGGAAGGCCGTGCCACCAGAGCTGATCAAGAAGGCGTTCCTCACCTGTGGCATCAGCAGTGCGCTTGATGTCAGTGAGGACAACCTTGCCATGGCGCACAGGCGGAGCCAGCTGACCCATGAGGTCGACGTCGATGACGAGATCGTCGCCAACGGCTTCTTTGGCAACAACTGCGAGGAGCCGGAGTCTGACGACGAGTAGATTTCTAGTTAGGGGTGTAATTTTTAATGTGTAATGAGATTAGTGGTAGAGAGGCATGTGTAGAAATCATGTTAGTGTAGGTAAAAATGTTAAGATAAAAAAAAAAAACAGTGGAAAGACTACCCCCTGTGGGGAGGGGATGCGCTTATAAAAAGTACATGCATTCTAGGGGGTGCGCTTATAATTGAGTACTGGCCATAAGCGCATGGCTCCAGATAGAAGCGCCGGCGCCTTTAATCAGGCGGCGCTACTATCCGGGGCGATACGTACCAATACTCCATAGGAACATATCCTTTTGGAAATATACACATCCGTTTGAAAATGAACGTTAATTAGGCAATCACAAACAAAAGGTTTCTATGCAATTAAAATTAGTCACAATATGATCGAAAACTGAGTGACCTCTATAAACCTCATTCTGTCTTCTCTACTCTACAGGAGGCGGTTGTTACATGAAAGTGTATAAGCCGTTTCCATCTCTAAGTTAACTAATCCATCATTAGCAAGAGTACATCTTAACAAAAACTGGCATGATCCAGAAGAGTAACGCCCATGTCAGCTCGTGTAACTCATTGACGCCTTTGATGAAAGAACGCTCTTCAAGCTGAAGCCTTTCTTTCTCCCTGCTCGTCCTGCTTCTCCCAACTCGCACGCACTCCCGTCAGCATCATTCGTTGTGTCAATCCATGCACTAAACTCGTCTGCAGCAGCCATGGCCCCTGACTCCAAGCCTCCAGAAGCACCCCTGGCATAGTCCCTTTTGGGTCCTAGCACAGGAGAGCTCCATATTCTAGGCGATCCCAACCCTCTACTACTGCTGCCCTTGCCACCATTGCTGCTGCTGCTGCTGCCGCTCTTTTGGCTGCTGCCTGTCTTGAAACTGAGAGACGCTCCTAAGAACGGAGATCCAGAGGTCTTCTTGGCTCCACTGTTACTCACACTCCCCATCTCACTATCCTCCGTGGCATTACCCTTGCTGCTCGTGCCGTTACCACTCTTGCTGCCACTGCTCCCACCACCTAAGGGAAAGCTTCCAAAGCTGTTGCTACGAACCAAGCGGCCTCCCATAAAAGGCGAGGAAGAACCCTTCTTCTCTGCACCACCGGACCCACCGTTGCTGCTGCTACCGTGGCCGCTGTGACTACTGTGGCTGCTGCTTCTCTGGTAGAGCTCGCCACTCTTCCCTCCACCGAAACTGCTTATAACATGCTGTGCACTGTAGATCTCCCCGCTCTTCCGAAAGTCATGGTGCGTGCCATGCCCTCCCCCCCCTCCTCCACCACCACTCTTCCGCATGAGGAGGCTACTGACAATGCTGCGACGCCTGCTGTGGGAATCTTCAGCGCCAGCCTCCTCCATCCCAGTGTTCAAGTCCAGGTGGTCTGGGAAGGCCGGTGGTACATGCAGGTCACTAAACGGCTCAAACATTGTGTGACCGTTACCCCCCCCGTCCTCACCACTGCTGCCTTGCCCCCAAGCGCTCACACCACCCTCATCCAAGTGTCCTGTCCCCTGGTTTGCTGCCTCTACGTCCTCTCCTCTTTCACCACTGCCCTCTCCACTGCTGCTCCCTGAAACCACCGCCGCTGTACCCCATTCTCCTGCCCACCCTTCTCCTTCTGCAACAGTTGCTTCTCCCTCTGTCAGTGCTGCTTTAGGTTTGGATGGCAAGATCTGGCGGCGTCTGAAGCTCTGCCCCATCTTAACAGACCCTCGCAGGCGGGACAGCATCGCTGCTGCCGATGCCACTGCTCCAGGAGCCATTCTTCCCCGACTGCTGCTGCTACTGCTGTTGTTGGTACTGCCGGTGTTCATATCGCATTTATTTTCAAACTTGGTCCCTTTTTCCGTGGCCTCACCCCTTGATTCCCTTTCTTCCTCCTCTTCCTCCTCTCCCTCCTCCTCCTCGTCCTCTTCTTCCTCCTCTTCCTCTTCCTCCTCCTCTTCCTCTTCCTCTCCCTCCTCTTCCTCCTCCTCCTCCACCTCATCTACCTCCTCTATCTCCTCTACCTCCTCGACCTCCTCTTCTGCACCCTCCTCAGTCCCCTCCTCTTCCTCCACCAGCTCCACCACCTCCTCAATCTCCCCACTCATATTTCCCATTCCCATGTGACCCCGTGATTGCTGATTGGTGTTCACGCCGATACCAGCACTTAAAACAGAGCACGCCCCAAGGGAAATCCCTGTGTTACCCACCCTTCCTACTCCACCCATTTCTCCCAGTGCTCCCACTCCTCCTGACGATACAAACGCACCCCCGAGGCCAGCAATCTTAGCGGCTGAAACCATCGAAGCTGGGAGCACCACTTCTGCTTCCTGTGTTGATCCCCCTGCTGCTGCCTGTGCTGCTGCCTGTGCTGCTGCCTGTGCTACTACTGCCTGTGTTGATGGTGCTGCTGTCTGTGCTCCTTTCTGTGCTGCTGCCGCCGCCATCTCTCGGTTCCCATCGAATTCAGCAGCAGCAGTAGCAGCACGAGCGGCACCGGCACCAGCACCGGCAGCAGAGGCAGCAGCAGCAGCCACTGCTGCAGCAATCAGAGGGTCAGCAGCAGCAGGCGAGTGCGAGAGAGGGAGGGGCTTGGTGTGGGAGAGAATGGAGCGAGCAACGAGGGCAGGGGGGGCCCGAGAGGAGGAGAGGCGTGGAGAGCTTGGGAGACGCATGAAGCCTCCAGTCTTGCTGCAAGCACTTGTGGTGCCAGGAGTTGTGGTGCTAGGAGTTGTGGTGTTACCGGTGGTGGTACCAGCAGTGGTGCTTGCAACGGTGCTCACAGTCGCTCCTGCAGTTGAGCTACCAGCCTTGCTCCCAACAGTGGTGACAGGGTAATTACTGCTGCTAAGAGTGCACCCCCTTTCGCCACTTCCTCCCTCCACCTCCACACTAATCCCCTCCTCTCCACAGGTCTCCCCCCCCTCCCCTTCAAGCTCCGCCCAAGAGGACAGGAACGGGTTGCTGCTGGAACGAGGAATGCAGCTGTTGCCACGGTCACGGTCAGCAGTCAGAGACTGCTTGGGCATCTCAGTACTGCCCTCGCTGCCCTGTAAGGCTTCCTCAACCAAGTCCTCTGGATCACCATTGGGTTCCCAAACTGGGATGAATGAAGACACGGGTTCTTTCAAGCTGGGCAGGAATGGCTTTTCGGGCCACTCAAAGGTCATCTCTTCTGGCTGAACGGGCCCTTGTTTCAATAAGGGTTCTTCAGTACTGTAACTGTGTTCCTGCTGTAAGGGCTCCAGGATACTATCCAGGAAGGGATTGTAGGGAGAGAACCCCAGGCTTGCTGCTGCTGGTGCTGCTGTAACCACGTCGATGGCAGCAGCAAGTGGGGCATCAGGCGAGGCATCAGTTGGGGCGTCAGGTAGGGCAGTGAAAAAAGGGTTCCATGGCTGGTCCATGCACGATGTTGCAGGCAGGGGGAAAGCAGTGGCGGTGTTGTCATCGCCACTGGCTGTTTCAGGCAGGGGGCAGGCGGGAATAGCAGCAGCGTCGTCTACTGCTGGGCTATCAAGCGAAGCGGTCAGGTGCAGAGGGAGAGGCCGAGTGGAGGGAGAAGGAGAGGCAGGGGGGGATGCGGTGGGAGTGACGAAAGGAGATTCTTCTCCTTGGTTCTTGACAGGAGTTGCAACGGGGCCTTGAGATTGCAAGGTAGAGATCAGCTCCTCACATGCCTCCTCACGCTCCTCCTCACCCGCCTCCTCACCCCCCTCCTCACATGCCTCCTCACCCACTTCCACACACCACTTTACACACGCCTCCAATGTTGCTTCTTCACCTATCCATTCTCCTGCCCCTGCCCCGGTTTCTGGGCCTGCCTCTCCCCCGTTTCCTGCTTCTACTATGCGGTCTTCTTCTCTTTCCACTTTAGCTTGTTCTGAGATCCCATCCTCTTCCCCTGACCCAGTGTCTCCCTCTGTTATATCTGTCTCTGCCTCTGCTTTCTTTTCCTCCTCCTCACCCCATTCCACCTCCTCTTCTCGCCTCTCCCTCTCACCCCTCTCCTTTTCAGCCACCACCTCAGCCAACTCTTTCATCAACCATTCCACATGCTCCTCCAATTGCCTCCTCTCCTCCTCCCCATCCCTCAACATCCCTCTCAACCCCTTCACCTCCTCTCGTACCGCATTCACCTCCCCTCTCCCCCTCTCCCTCTCCTCCACTGCTTCAGCCAATTCTCTCATAAGCCTCTCCACACGCCCCTCCGCCTGCCTCCTTGCCTCTTCACCTTCCCGCACCTTCCCTCGCAATCTCCTAACCTCCTCTCTTATCGCATTCACTGCCCTTCTCTCCCCCTCCCTCTCCGCCATCTCTTCTGCGAGCTCCTTCATAAGCCATTCTAAATGCTCCTCCGCATGGCCCTTCTCCTCCTCCCTCACTCGCAGCCTCCCCCGCAAGTCCTCTAGTCCAATCCTCATTGCCTCCACTTCACCTCTCCCTCTCTCCTTCTCCTCAACAGCCCTTGCCAGCTCAGCAACCTTAGCATCCAGCTCAGCCACCTTACTGGCCAGCTCAGCCTTGAGCGCTACAATCTCCCCCTCAGTCTGCCGAACCTGCTCCTCTGCCTTGATCAGCTGCTGCTCCAGTCCCCAAACCTGCTCCGTCGCCTCGGTTGCCTTTTCCTCTGCCTGGAAAAGCTGCACCTGCGACTGATACCGAGCCTGATTCCAAGCCTGTTCCCAGACCTGTTCCCAGACCTGTTTTCGAGCCTGTTCCCTCGCCTGTTCCCGAGCCTGCTCCTGAGACTGCAGAATCATCATGGTGCTATCGAGAACCTGTCCCACTAGGCCCACCACCATTGCCTCTACCTCCTCCTGCCTCCTCTTCCACTCGTCCCCTACTGGCACTCCATTCTCAAGTTCAGATTGCTGCACTTCATCCTGAAATTCATCAAGTTCATTCTGCGGTTCACTTGACAGCACATTCTTGACCTCATTCTGCACCTCCTCCTGTGGCTCACACAGCAGTTCACCCCCAGACAGCTGCTCCTTCTCCTGTGCTTGATCCACGCTCTCCATCGCACCATCCAGCATCTCGCACACCAAAGCCACCACTACCTCCTCCACCTCCCGTACCCCCTGCAGTCCTCTCAACCCCTTGTCTGCTCCCATTTTCCCCCCTTCCTTCTTTGTCTCTTCCTCCTCCCGATCCTTCCCCATCTTCCCCTTTTCCTCCCCTTGCCTCTCCACCCGTCCCTCCACCTCCTTCCTCCCTCGCATCTCTCTCACCCTTTCCTCGGCATCTACCAACGCTGCCCCAGCAGCAGCAGCCTTCCTCTCAGCCTCTTCAGCCTTCCCCCTCGCCTCCTCTGCTCTCTTCTCCGCCTCCTCCCTCTCCCTCACAGCAACTCTCGCCCTCTCTTCTGCCTCATCCACTGCTGCCAACGCCTCACTCGCTTTCCCCTCTGCCTTCCTCTGCTCCTCCTTTGCTCCTCTCGCCCTCTCCTCTGCTTCCTCCGCAGCTCTCTCACTCCTCCTCACTCTCTCAGTCACTTCCTCTACTCTCTCCCCTGCCGCTCGCACACACACTCTCAAAGCTTCACACTCCATCCGAACCACCTCTTCTGCTTCTCTCGCCCTCTCCACCTCCCCGTCTAACTCCTCCACTCTGCCCTCAGCAGCTTCGGCCCGAGCCTCAGCTTCGGCAAGCTTGGCTTGGGCCCGAACCAGCAGCTTCTCTGCTTCCTCCGCCTTCTGTTCCTCCTTCTTTAGAACAGCTTCAAGCTCGTTCAACTCTTCCCTTAACCCTTCAATCTTTACCTTCAATATAACCACCTGCTCCTCTGCTTCTTTCACCCGCTCAGTTGCATCTTCTGCCTTCTTTGCTTCCACCTCTGCTTGCGCCCAAACCTCCGCTAACTCATTCTCCATTCTCTCTGCCTCTTTCCGAGCCTCTTCCCGAGCCTGCTCTTGCACGCTCTCCACCTCCCGAGCCACGCGAGCCTCAGCTTCGGCAGCAGCAGCCTCGGCTCTCATAGCCCTCGCCTCCTCCCTCTCCCTCCTCTCCCTCTCCTCCCTCTCCCTCTTCCTCAACCCCTCACACTCCCTCCTCAACTTCCCACACTCGCCCTTCAACGCATTACACTCCTCACTCAACCTCTCAGCTTCAGAAGTCACCAACCCCAGCCACTCCGCCTCTTCCTCCTTTGCTGCCTTTCTCACCTCAGCCCTCAGATCCGCCATTCTCCTTTCCAGCATCGCTTTCTCCCCTGCCAAAGCCCGTTCAGCAGCAAAAGCTCTCACTTCTGCAAGCCTCTTTTCCTGCAGCATGCCTGCCACTGCCTGCTCCTCCGCCCTTTCAACCTCCGCCCTGATTCTCTCCGCAACCCCTGCTGCTTTCTCTGCTTTCTCTTCAGCTGCTGCGAGCTTTTTCTCCCATGCCTCCGCTTCCTCTTTCAGTTTTGCTTCCCATGCGTCCCGTACCTCTTTCAGCCTTCCTTCCCAAACCTCCCCTTCCTCTCTAAGACTCCTCTCCCACATCTCCCGTTCCCCTGCCCAATTCCTCTCCCGTTTTTCCACTTCCGCTGTCAACTCATTATTCCAGGAATAACGTTCATGTGCCACCCTCCTCTCCCTCGCCCTCCCCTCCTCCTCCCACGCTCTCTTCTCCTCCTCCCACCGCTGCCTCTCAGCTTCAATCCGCCTCTCATACTCTTCCCGCTCCTTCCCCAACCTCTTTTCCATCTCAGCAATACTCGTCCGAGCCTCCTGCTCAGCCTCGGCAAGCTGCATCCGAGCCACCCTCACCTGCTCCTGCTCCGAGGCTTGCCGGGCCACAGCAGCCGCCATTGCCTCAGCAGCCGCCGAGGCTAGCTCCGAGCGAAGCGCCCGAATCTCCGCCTCAGCCTCAGCAGTCCGAACCTCTGCCAAACCCAAGCGCTCAACACTACCATCTGCCCGTCGCATCTCTCTCTCCCTTTTCTCCTCCGCTTCTGCTGCCCGTTTCTCTGCCCCTGCTGCTTTCTTCTCAGCTTCCGCTACTCTCCTCTCTGCTTCTGCTGCCCGTCTCTCTGCCTCAGGTGCTCGCTTCTCTGCCTCTACTGCTCTCTGCAAAGCCTTCCTAGCTCGAGCAATAGCCTCTTCCGCCTTCTTACTCTCCCTCTCTGCCCTCTTAGTCGCCTCAGCCACGGCCCTATCAGCCTCTCGCTTCACTCGCTTGATCTCGTCCGTTCGCGCCGCTCCAAAGGCTGCTGTTCCCCCACCTCCGCCCGACTGCCTTCTAACACCACTGCTGCCAAAGCTACCAACACCAGCAGCAGCACCAGCAGCAGCGCCACCAGCTCCATACCCACGGCCGGTTTTCTCATCGGACTTTCTCAAAGCATCCACCTGCTCCTTTGCTTTTGCTGACTCGTCCTTTGCCGCTGCCAGCTCAGCGCTCAGCCGCGCGATCTCCGACGTGGCGCTGTCCAGGTCAGCGCGCAGCGCCGCACAGTCAGCACGCAGAGTAGCGCACGCCGCCTCGCTTTCATCCGCCCGTTGCCTCTCGGATTCCAAGGATAGCCTTGCTGCGTCAAGGGCCTGCTGGGTTGACTGCAGGTCTAACTGGGTGCTTTCTAGTGACGCCTTTAACTGCGTGTTGGCCTCCTCGAGAGATGCCAGATTCTGTTCCAGGGCCTGGGAGGAGTGAAGAGGGAAAAATGAGGAAGACAAGGAGAATGAGAGAAAAAAAGGGGGAAAACAAGATAGCCGTCCCAGAATTCCCATAATTGGGTATTGCACCTGCAGCTCTTCTATTGTGATGGGCAATCGGGGCAGCACTGTAGCCAGATCCGCCCGCCCACAAGCTACCTGCAGTTCTTCTGCTGTGATGGGCAGCTGGGGTGATAAACCCCGTTACCTTCGTAGAGACTCCCACCCGATGTTCTTCCTGTGGCTTTGTGGCCGCATTGAAACCCACCTGCAGTTCCTCTGCTGTGATGGGCAGGGGGGGGCGGCACTCTAGCCAGCTGCACCTGGAAAAGGAAGAGCCTACATTCCACTCACTACAAACCTGCAGTTCCTCTGCTGTGACTGGCAGCGGGGGGCGGCACCCTAGCCAGTTCTGCCTGCAGCACCTCCTCTGCATGCACCGTGCCCACCCAGCCGGTTTACAGCAGGCGACTTTTGAGTCGACTCAAAAGTCTGTTCTGCCTGCAGCAGCGACACGTGCTGCCTCAGTCGCCGCACCTCCTCCGCATCCACCGTGCCCAGCTGGTTCACTGTGGGCCAATGGCACATGCAACCTTGCTGCTTAAACAAACGACTTACAGCTACCTTCCCAATAAGCCCCACCCGCCTCATTTTCTTGCCGTGACTCTAGGCCCCTCTCACAACCCACCTGCAACTCCTCTGCTGTGATGGGCAGAGGGGGCGGCACTCTAGCTAGTTCAGCCTGCAGCAGCGAAACGTGGTGCCTCAGCCGCCGCACCTCCTCTGCATCCACCGTGCCCAGCCGGTTCACCGTGGGTCGGTTGCAGATGTTGCGCGCACGGTTGGCATAGCGAAGGGTGTTGAGACTCTCCTCTACGTTTGAATCCGTGGGGCTCACGCAGGCTGCGAAGACAAGTGGGAAAAACAAAGGAGAAAGGCGAAAGGAGGGAAGGTGTCAGTCTCAACAGGCAAGCCACCATGCCCAGTCGGTTCACGGTGGGTCGGTTGCAGATGTTAGCAGCCTGGTTGGCATAGAGAAGGGTGTTGAGACTCTCCTCTACGTTTGAATTCGTGGGGCTCACACAGGCAGCGAAGAAATGGAGGGAAGGGGAGACGCAGCAAGCGGAAAATGGTGAGGAGAATGATGGAAGAAAAGGAAAGGGTAAGACGTTCCTAGCCCATAAATCTCCATCTCATTCAGCTATCCGTACTTTTGACTGTGACTTAAAAAACAGTGTGGCTTTTGAGGCACCCGTCTCATTCAGCACTCCATAACTATAAAACCGGTGTGGCAGAATTCGTCTGAGGCACCTAAGAATCAGTGTGCATCTAGATCTGTGGCGCCTCAGACCTAGCAGACAGCACAGCTTACCTATCATGACAGTGCGACTGTTGCCTCCGAGGGAGTCCTGAAACATAGGGTGGAAGGACAGTCGCACATAGAGAAGAGTGGGATGAAGTTAAGAGCAGTTTAAAGGATGGTTGAACCTTGTTCCAGAGTGGCTTTGAGTTGACCCGGAAGTCACCAGAATAGTGGGATTAGAGCTGAAACGGGCATAGGGATGATAAGATCGCGTTCGGATGGCGAGAAGGTTCGCAGCAAAAGAAGGAATTTATGTTTCTAGCACACAAGAAAGCATTTTCAGTTTGTGTAGCAAGCAACACACAAGCACAACACTCAGTCACGGCTTGAACACCCTTCACACCTGCAGCAGCCGCGTCAGCTTGCTATCTCGATACGGAACGTGCACCGGGATCAACGCTGCTGTAAACCCTGCACCTCCTCCCCCCCCTGCATCCTTCCTCCTCTTCTCATCGCTGCTGAGCGCACTGATCACGTTGCCTAATGCCAGGAGACCCCTGTTGATGTGAATGCCTGCAGGGGGAGGGTGGTGGAGGTGGGGGTAGAGTATCAATCTATGAGTCCACAAAAAAGGAATCTCTGCTGAGCGCACTGATCATGTTTCCCCAACACCACGAGACCCTCATTGATGCGAATCATTAGAGAGCATCCAAGCTCACTTCAGCTAAACACCCTCTAACTTGGTGTGTCTGAGTCGTGCGCTGCCTGCCAGGTCCACCGCATACACATTGCACCACATTGCCTGCCTGCCTGTTCAAACCAAACTTCTCTCCCACATTGCTCTCTCAGATCGCATCCTCGTCTTCTTCCCACATTGCAATACCTCCTCTCTCTCCGTCCACTCTCACCTTCTTTCAGCCGAGCGCCCTCTGCCTTGGTGCATTTGATCCATTCGCTGCCCGCCACCCTCCATCCCAAATGCACTCTATTGCTTCATCAACCCCACCTCTTCTCTCACATTGCAACACTTCCCCTGCTCACTCTCTCACCTTCCTTCAGCCGAGCACCCTCTGCCTTGGTGCGTTTGATTCGTTCGCTGCCCGCCAAGTCCACCAGATGCATTTTCGCACACAGATGCTCCTCATCCATCCGCCCGACCCCAAACAAAGCATTTTCGTCCTGCCCGAACAGCGCCATCCCATCGGCTTTCCCCGCCCCATCTCCGCTTTCAAGCGAAGCTCTCCCACTGCTGCTGGAAGTGCCACTGGTGCTGGCGCTTAGGTAAGTACTCGTGGCGGTTGTCATGCTGGTGGAGAGACGAGAGGTGGGATCCAGTGGGACTGCTCGTCGTCTGAACTGATCCACGAATATTGTGAATATGGCGTGGGAACGACTGGTGGGAAGAAGGGAAAGGACGAGAAGAAAGGGAGAGAGAAAGGGGGGAAGGGGGTGATGGGGAGATGTGGGACCAGCGGGACTGCCCTTCGCCTGAACTGGTCCACGAATATTGTAAAGACGTGGGAACGACTGGTGGGAACAAGGTGAGTGGGTTAAAGAAAAGGGGAAGGCCGAGAAGAAAGTGAGGGAAAGAGGGGGGGATGGGAAAGGGAGAGGAGAAGAAGCAGGTACTCCTCCTTAGGAAGAATCGAATATGATGGTACGACTGGTGAGAAGGAGGAATGCTGATAATGGGAAGACTTAGAAAGAAGTGGGAATCCACTACCATCCCGTCTGCACATAAACCCTACACAGACCCACCTGGACCGCTGGTTCAGGTTGTGACTGCCTGTCGCCCGGAACAGCAGCCCATGCTCCAAGCACGCTATAGCCTCGTCCCGTGTGGTAACCACCTGCTCTGTAACCCCTGTGAGGGACACCCCTCCCGGCAGCTCCCGGATCGCCACAGTCTGCCGAGGCGGCGGCGCCGGACCTAGGGGCGCTGGTCCTGAAGGGGAGGCTCGGGCCGCAGCAGCGGCAGCAGCAAGGGCAGCGACGGTGGCGGGCGAGGCGGAGGAGGGGGTGGAGGTGGGGAAGGGAGCAGCGAGGAACTCTAGAAGGTCGTGTATATCGTCCTTGTGGATCTGAGTGGGTGAAGTGAAGGGGGCAGCGGAGGAGAACGGAAGGGGGGAAACATGAAGCAACACGAGTAGAAAGAGGCATGCTTGACCGTCAGTGCACTTACCATACCAATGTGAGTCAAACAGTATCAGAGCTTTGTTCGTCTCTGGCCCCAGCCACTGACCCCACTGAACCGTAGTGGGCGAGATCTTCTACACGCTGGAAGAGAGATTTGACCTCCCGCCTCGCCACGCCCCCTCCCTTCTCCACCGACGCTGGACTCACAGCCCCTCTTTGAGTTGACTAAAAAAACCCACTGATCCCTGCTGGCCCCTCTGACCCCACGCACCCCACGCACCTCTATGAGAGAGACTCGGATCTGGAAGCGAGAGCAGTGGGCGAGGTCCTCTACACGTTGGAAGAGGGAGTTCACCACCCGCCTCGCCACCCCTCCTTCCTTCTCCACCGACGCTGGACTCACAGCCCCCAATGCACTGCCACTTGTGGTGCTCCTCCCCTCCCTCCTCTCACCGCTGCCGCTGCCACTGCTCCCACTGCTCCCAGTGCTGCTATTGAACTTGTTGGGGCTGCCACTCATACTGTCGCTGCTATTCAGACTCTCGTCCTTGCCAGTGCTGGCACCACCACCACTGGTGCTGGTAGCTGCACCGCTGCTGTCTGTCTCAGCAGCAGCAGCCGTGCTCTGAAGAGCTGTGCCCATGGTGTACGTCTTGCCTGACCCGGTCTGCACGCTCACAATGGATGGATGGGAAAGCAATGAGAGAGGGGATGGTTTCATTAGCAGGAGTCATTGATTGGAAATCATTCTTCTCACTTCGAGCAGCAGCCGTGCTCTGGAGAGCCGTGGCCATGGTGTACGTCTTGCCTGACCCGGTCTGCACATTGAGGAGGGAGACAAGGGAGAAAGATGGGGAGAGAAAACGGTTCTACTAGCAGCAGTAACGCTTCAAAGCCGTCATGATCATCTGCTATGGAAGCGGGGGTGTGTGATGGTGCCATCAGCAGAGCAGCAGCACAAGCAGTAGCCGTGTGCGAAAGTGCAGAGTTCTGCCCATGCACGGGCTACGCAGTGTGGTGTGAGCGTTTTAACCCCCAACAGGTGTAGCGTTACATACCTCTCGCCTGCCCGTACGCGGAAACCGCAGCTTTGTAACCAACAGGCACTATCTTTCTCACCTGTCCACACGCGAACACAGAAGCGTTGTAGCCATCAAAGAGCCCGCGCACAAGGGGCATGATGCAGTCGGCAAAGAGCTGCGACATGGGCGGACCCGTATGTGAAGACCGTATCCTTGTATCCATCAATTGCACTCTCTCGCATGCACCAGTCACACTGGCTCACCTGCCCGTATGCAAAAACGGTGGCGTTGTAACCATCAAATAGCCCGTGCACGAGGGGCATGATGCAGTCGGCAAAGAGCTGCGACATGGGCGGGCCCGTCCCTCCGTACACATAGTCGTATGTGAACACCCAGTCTGGCGAGACATGCACCTGGTGGGGGAGATGGGGGGCGGATGCATGACGGATAGAATGTGACACTGCCCTTCTGTCCCTCCGTACACATAGTCCTATGTGAACACCCAGTCTGGAGAGGGGAATGGCATAGTAAGAGGGGAGGCAAGAGAGTGGGAGGAAGGCAGGAACGGGGGTGGGAGGCATGAAGGGGCGGGGACGCATAAGGAGCACGTGGGGGAGTAAGAGCAGGGGGGAGAACAAGCGGGGAGGACAAGGAGACAATTAACGCTGGCAGCAGGATTCGATCCCGCACCTCTGGTTTGCCTCCAGGCGGGACCTTGATGCACTCCACGCATCTAGCAGCCATTTCGTGCGGCACCATAGGGCGCACGTTCACTGCCACAGTCACTGCCGACCCCACCGCTGCTGCTGTCCCTCCTGCTGCTGCTGACGTTGACACTGTGTCTGCTTCCACCTCTACTGTTGCCGGTCCACTTGCACTCGTTGCAGCTGTTGCAGAGTCTGCTGATGGAATCACTGCCGCTTTTGCTGATGGCGCTGCTGCTGCTTCGGCTACTGCCGCACCCACTGGTGCTCCAGCTATCAGTCTTGCCGCCTCCCCCGTCGGCACTACGGCTGTAGCGGTTGTTTCGTCGTCCCTTTTTGCTGTTGCTGCAGCAGCAGCAAACTTCACTGGCCTGATTGCAAGCAATGATCCAGCCACTGCGGACCCTATCACCGATGTTAGGTTTGCAGCAGCTGCTGTTGCCCCTCCTGCTGCGGTTGCTGCTGTTGATGGTGGTGGCGGTGCTGCTCCTGCTGCTGCGGCGGCTGATGCTATTAAACTTGCTGCTGCTAATGGTGCTGGTGCTGCTGGTGCTGCGGGTGCTGCAGGTGGTGCTGGTGCTGCTGGTGCTGCGGGTGCTGCGGGTGCGACGACCGTGGGGGCTATTGGCCCAAGCTTTCCGGTCGTTACTGACACCCCTTGCCTCATTGCTTCTGCCGACTTTCCCGTTGGTCCTTCTCCTGCTGCTTCCCCTCCAGGCACTGCAGCATTTCCCACTGTGATCCGTGGCAGTCCTGTCTCACCAAATCCAGTTCTCTCGTTAGGCCCCTTCGTTACAGTCATCCTGTCAACCCACCCGCCTGTGCCCACTGAAGAAGTCCTTCTAATCGACGTGCCTCCCTGACCAGTTTCTTCCGCGGATGCTGCCCCACCTCGCCTCGCCCCTCCTTCCTTCCACCCATCTCCACCACTCGAAGCTTTCACCGCTATCCCCGTGTCTTTCCCCTCGGCCTCTTCAGCCCACGTAGGATTGCGATTCTTCGTCTCGACTCCCACCACGCTCGCCTTTCCACTGCATCTGCTGGTTCCACTGCCACCGCTATTGTCACTGCCTCCGCTGACCCCACCACTACCACCACTAAAGTCACTGCTTCCACTGGCCCCACCACCACCATTCTTCTCACCACGTATTCTGACGCCACTACCACCGATACTGTCACTGCTTCCGCAGCTAACATTACTACCACCACCGTTATTCTCACCCTCGCCGCTAGCCCCACGAGCACTATCTCGTGATCCTGCGAGCTTTTCCAAACCTGCTGTGACTTTCACGCCTTGACTGCGGCCCTGCCAGCTCAGCGTCGGCCGCTCCGTCCGCTCCTCCCGCTGCAGCTCGAGAGAAGGAAGGCCGTTTCGCTCAGGACGTGACGTCACGGGTGGTACAGGACGTGCCGTCACGGATGGCACGGGGCTCTGCTTTCGATTCCGATCGGGGATAGCGCTCACGACGGGTGTGGGACTCGCTTTCCGCTCCGGTCGCGAGAACGTGGGTGTGGAGCTCCGCCTTCTCTCTGGTGGAGTAAACGCGGGCGTCGAATTCGTCTTCTTCGCTGCTCGTGACGCCGTTGCGGTCGCTCCATCAGCAAGCTTCGCGCTGAATGCCGGAACGAATGAAGCAGCCACCGCTCGCATGGCTTGACCGGCCGAATCGGTTCCTGAATCTGTAGCTTCCGCCAAAAAATTGGACACCGTTGGACCCAAGGACTTGAAGCTACTGGGTGGGGAAGATGGCGGCGTGGCGGGTTTCAGGACAGGCGGCGGGATAGCAGTAGACGGTTTCAGTGCAGGAGACGGAATTGAAGTAGACGGTTTCAGTGCAGGAGAAGGGATAGAAGTAGACGGTTTCAGTGAAGGAGAAGGGATAGAAGTAGACGGTTTCCTTGCAGGAGACGGGCAAGACGTAGACGGCTTTTGTGCAGGAGTTGGGATAGCAGTAAACGGTTTCAGGGCAGGAGACGGAATACCAGTGGACGGTTTTACAGTATGAGAATGGATGACTGTAGTGGGAGCTGCTATAGGAGCCGGTGTTGTATAGGGTGCTACAGTTGGTGCTTTACTAGTAACGCGGCCTTCCCGTTTTCCAGGAATGTCCCTTCTTGCGTCCTTTCCCAAACCTTCCTTCGGCTCCTTATCCGGGCTGTCCTTAATGAGTGCCGTGGGAACCGCCGGAAACTTCAGCGACCGGTTTGCTCCCCTGTCAAGCGGTGTCGGGGATGCCGGCTGCCGTCTTGGTGACGGAAACCGTCTGGGAGACGGTAAGCGCATTGGCGACGGGTGCCGTTCCGGCAGTTTAGACGGTGGAGTTGGATTCCCTCCTGGGAGCGGCCGGCTACTGCCCGCTTCTGTGGGAGACGAGCATGAAGATTTTGGACCTGACCAGCCGAACCGCTCGGGTGATGCGGGAATCGCGGTGATCGCCATTGCACTCTATTAGGACCAATACTGACCCTCAGAAGCAATGGCGGACCCCTGCTGCAGGACGGACTGTTAAGCTTACTAAGGACTATACCTACTAGGTTGGCCTCCTAGTAGATACGTTATACTGTATTCTGGCCTACCTATCAGCTGCCAATGTTATCTTGACGACAGACTCGTCGACAACGTCAGTTTCTTGAAAGAGCGCCGACATTATGGAAGAATTGCACGAGGAACCTAGACATTGAGGCTCCGTCAAGCATGTTATAAGTTCTGATTAAACGTTATCTGAGCTGAATAAGCATGAGGTCGTCAGTGCTGTAGCTTAGTAGAGGGTGGTTGGGTTTTGCGCTATGGAATTGAGTTCCAGACGAAAGTGAGCTTTGAGCGACGAGAAACTAGACAAGGCGAAGACGACTCCGTTGCGGAGGCGATGAAGGCCTCGGTGGTGGTGTGGAGATAGCAAGTGCAGATTCTTCTACGTTTTGGGCGCGAATATTGAGAGGGATAGAAGGGAGGAGAGAGGAACAACAGGACGGGAGCAGCGATGTGAGGTGAGGAGCGATTGAAAGGGGACTTTGGGATAAGCAACTGCGGGAGAATGATGCGAGGGAGGGAAGGACTCCATGTTGGTATCGAGAGGTGAGGTGGAGTGAGGAGCGGTTGGGTGGGGACTGGGAGAAAGACCTCAAGCGCAGTCCACAGGCTTCGGAGAAACTCGAATCGCCTACATACAATGCTGTCACCGCCAAACCAATTGTTTGACCAAATTTGTCCGCCTGAGTTTTCCAGCAACGGCTACCTTCGGCATTCTAATTATGAGTCGCCTTACTTAAAGCCCGAAGTCAGCATGGCAAAGCGTTTTCTGTTTATAGGGCTTGAACTACTAGTTTCCGAGTAGCGAGAACTGTATTCGTTGAACCCCCACTGGCGAAGCAACACACATGTTCGTCACACATATTTGGGGTCGACAAGAGGCGCTTTGGCGACCAGGCATGCGACCCGTCAGAGGCCAATGAGCCGAAACCACTCAGGATGGTGGAATTGCTCCAGCAGGAAACGAGCACAAGCAACGCAACCAATCAGAGAAGGGGAAACAAAAAAACGGGGGGATACAACTCGGTGATGGGGTGAAAAAAGTATGGAGTGTGGTTGGTAGAATGGGAGTGCAACACCAACCACAAACTCTGTCAAAATGACGATCTCGAGTGAGCATCGATCAATGTCACCAGCTGTATGCACGACTACCAACCGTGAGACAGAGACAAGACAGGAGGATACAGCAATAATGCGCAACGCGCCAGCCGTTTATCCCGCGTCGCAGGAGAAGGCAACAGCCGTGTTCCCAGCCGTGTATTCAGACGAACGTATTGGCGAGAGCGAGCACGAGACAGATGGACAGAAAACAGGACCTGCTTTGCGTACAGAAGGTTTAGAGTCATACACGTTCATACGAGCCTTGCCCCTTGCGCCCGCACCTCATCTAGACAAACACTGTGCCATCAATCGGCCAGTGCCAACGATTCGGCCTAGTGTCCTTGCGGTTGGGGTGACGGACAAGGGAAGTTGCGTATGTGAGCTAGAGACGGCGCGTGGAAGGGGGAACAACGGCAAAACGCGCGATCACGGAGATCAGGGACAGACAACGTTTGCGAACCGCAAGGACAATCGGTAAGGGAAGGGAGGGATATCCGTAAAGGGAAGCGTGGGGAGTTAGCAGAACTAAAAGCTGATGGGAGCCACAGCCACGAATTCACAACAGCTGTGGTTTCAGAGTACGCTCACACGTGAGCTTCCACGCGTCGCAGTGGTTTGGCGAATGCGACATAACACGCATGGCAGGGCCGAAGCAGTCCTTGCGAGGGAAGGGGGGACGTCAATAGTCGAGGAAGCAAAACCGGGATAAAACATGTGTTCGTGTGTAGCTGGAACTGCCAAGCGCACCGCATGTGATGTCTCTCTGCCGCCACAGAAACATGCGTCACAGCTCCACTTGGATCTTCGTCCGCGTCACTGCTGTTGCTCTCAGCGCTTGAGAGGGTGTGCTGCAAATGTCAGGGCACCTGTTTACTACGCTGCTTCTAAGCATGCGTAAGCATCCTGGTAGGCACAGCAGCACAAGGGGGTCACACCCTTTGCATTTTCCAAATTTCCAGCTATCCGAAGAACGTATCGCTGCCGTTGAATCTTACCTCTCTTTCATTCCTGTCCCATTTTCCAGGTATCCGAAGGACGTGTTGCGCCAGCAGTAGGGACTACTGTCATGGTTAGTCATCCATCCATCTAGGCGGCGGCGAGAACAGAGCGACGAGGAGCTGCTGCCTAGGCAGGTCAGTTCTCAACCAACCATCCCTCTCTAGTGCCCCATGCTTAGCAGTGCGAGGTGCTGATTCATTGGCTGAGTCATTTGCATGGCACATCATCACCTGTTCCCATCCCCCTCCCTGCTTTTCCCCATCCCCTTCCCTGCTTCCACCCATCCCCTTCCCTGCTTCCCCATGTCCCCTTCCATGCTTCCCCCCTCCTCTACCATTCTTCCCCCCTTTCCCTTTACCTGCTTCCCCCCATTCCCTTCCCTGCTTCCCCCCCTCCCCTCCCCTGCTTTCCCCCAGTCCCCTTCCATGCTTCCCCTTGTCCACTTCCCTGCTTTCCCATGTCCCGTTCTCTGCTTTCCCCCATCCCCCACACTGCTGCTTCCCCCCGTCCCCTTCCCTGGTTAGAGTCAAACCCTTCCCTGCTTCCCCCCCTCCCCTCCCCTGCTTTCCCCCATCCCCTTCCCTGCTTCCCCCCCTCCCCTTCCCTGCTTCTCTCTATCCCCTTCCCTGCTTCCGCATGTCCCCTTCCCTGCTTCCCCCCATCCCCTACACTGCTGCTTCCTCCCCTCCCCTTCCCTGCTTTCCCCAATCCCCTTCCATGCTTCCCCATGTCCCCCTCCCTGCTTCCCCCCCCCCCCCCCTTCCGCGCATCCCCCCTTCTTCTTACCTGCTTTTCCCCCTATCCTCTTCTCTGCTTTCCCCCATCCCCTTCCCTGCTTCCCCCCCTCCCCTTCCCTGCTTCTCCCTATCCCCTTCCCTGCTTTTCCCCCTATCCCCTTCTCTGCTTTCCCCCATCCCCTTCCCTGCTTCCACCCATCCCCTTCCCTGCTTCCACCCATCCCCTTCCATGCTTCCCCCCCTCCCCATCCCTGCTTTTCCCCATCCCCGTCCCTGCTTCTCCCTATCCCCTTCCCTGCTTCCGCATGTCCCCTTCCCTGCTTTTCCCCCTATCCCCTTCTCTGCTTTCCCCCATCCCCTTCCCTGCTTCCACCCATCCCCCTCCCTGCTTTCCCCCATCCCCTTCCCTGCTTCCACCCATCTCCTTCCATGCTTCCCCATGTCCCCTTCCATGCTTCCCCATGTCCCCCTCCTTGCTTCCCCTCATCCCTTTCCCTGCTTCCCCCCCTCCCCTTCCTTCCCTCCCCCCATCCCCTTCCCTGCTTCCCCATGTCCCCTTCCCTGCTTCCCCCCCCCCCCTTCCGTGCATCCCCTCTTCTTCTTACCTGCTTCCCCCCATCCCTCACCCTGCTTCCCCCCGTCCCCTACCCTGCTTCCACCCATCCCCCTCCCTGCTTTTCCCCATCCCCTTCCCTGCTTCCCCCCATCCCCTACCCTGCTTTCCCCCATCCCCTTCCCTGCTTCCCCCCATCTCCTGCCCTGCTTCCTCATCACACCCTTCACTGCTTCCCTCCATCCCCATCCCTGCTTCCCTTCCCCACTTCCCCATGTCCCCTTCCCTGCTCCCCCCCATGTCCCGTTCCCTGCTTCAGTCGTTGCCAGGAGTTTGTAGCTGGTTTTCCATTTATTCGACTTTCTCGGGCACAACAGCTCAACGCACCGCTCCCTTGGTAGGTCAGTGATCATCCCGGCTTCCCTCGTACGCAACAACTCCCTGTTCTTGGCTCTGTCACCCCTGCACTTTGGTTTTTTGTGCACCACCCATATCAGGGAGCCTCCTAAGCAGCAGCACTTTCTGCTCCCGCCATATCTCTTCATATTTGAGTCATCTGTCCCTGTTGGGCAGCTAGATGCATCAATAAATATATCTTCCTTCCCCACATTCCACGTGGGTATCTCTCTCACCCACCATGTACTTGCATACCCTTTTGGTAGTGTAGTTTCCCCCGTATGGCCAATGTGCGTGGAGCAGGTGTACATGCAGCAGCGCAAGCATGCAAGGATGCCACGAGGGGCACCGTGAACATATCGAAGCATATGAGGCCTCTGCTGTGCGTTCTACGTGTGGGATTGTCCGCATTGTTTGCTGGCGAGACTATGGCGACACCCGACGACGTTATTCATTTCTTGGCAGAGGCAGCACCAGATGCGATGCAGCGACTCATCACAGCAGGCCTAGCCGCAGGTACGTTGGAAAATGGTAATGGGACATGGCATATTAGATGCGGAGCTCAATCTGGTGAATACGAGATGTGTGTGCTCCTTCTTTCGTGAACCCAATTCCACCCAGATCCCGAGTCAGAGCGGTCGGAAACGGGCTCCATGGTCGAGTTGCACCGTCAGGAGTACGGTCGTATTTTCAAAGGGCGCGTTTAGGGAGGCTACGAAAAGGTTACAGATCTGCTGGGACGACCGAACGTAGTGCTGCCCGGAGTCAAGTTTTCATTTCCGATTATGCGGCTAGATCATCGCGGGAGACCTAGGCCTGTGGAGGGCCTGTCTTGGGGAGGAGCCAGGCGTGGCAAGGCATTTTCTCCACACCGCCAGGGAGGTAAAAAACTTTCTCTGCTTTGAAATACTAACAAATAGAAAGATGTTGAGGCACCATGCAGTCTCTGTCCTTCTATTTCCACTCCATAAATTGTACCTAATCCCATTGCTCTCGATGGTATGCAGAAGGTCTCGGGGTGACGGCTGGCGTTGAGACAGGGGACCATGATGTGGTGGAAATTGGGACGGATCCACCTAATGCAACGGCGCAAGACAGCTCTGAAGGTCGAGCTGGTGATCAAGAGTGCATACACGCCAACCCCGACAACGTACAGCAACCATCACTGACACCGACGGCGACAGATGGCACGCCAGAGGACCTGTAAGCATCTACCTTGTTTGAATATGTGGTCAGCACATGACCGCGCAAATTATCCCATCACATGATGATATGTGCACCACCCCATCCCGTGTCGCAGGCAACCGCGCTCGATCGCGCGTGCATCAGTCCCCAGGCGCTGGCCCAACGCACCAAATGTCGATGAGATTTCTGAACAACGGGTATGTCTTGTCGAACCGCGTACACTTGTTGGATTCTTCAAGAGATGTCGGTTGGTATGCTCGCATCAACAGACATGCAACGGAGCCATGTCTTTGAGGTCCTGGAAATTTTCATGGGCATCTGTGGGCATGTTTTGGAGATGTGATGCGTGCTCCCATGGTGTGGAATTTTGGTCATGCACCAATCGAACCGTAGAGAAAAGAAGAGCTGGGGTCGGGGCACGTGTGCCTATACTCCATTCAAAATTTGTAGGAGCCTTTGTGCTGGCCGGAATGGGGTACCAACAGATGTGGGAGTTCAGCCGCAATTTTGGCATCCCATGTCCCGGAAAAGGCACTTTCTATAAGTATCTGGGGGATGATAATGGGTTGTGGAACACGATTCTTAGGGAGGCGGAGAAATCGATGGCCGCGGTGCGAGAAGAGATGAGCAAACGAGACATACCTGGGGAATGGGTAACGGTAGATGGTCGGTGGTCACATGTCCGAGAGGGCGAGTGGTGTACCGTGTCATTCATGGATGCTGTTACGCGGAAGATATAGTACTGTGTGACAACAAGAAAAGGGGTGAATGATACATCATCTGTGCGATTGGAGCGAGTTGCGTTCGACAAAGGAGTTGATGAGCTGGCGCTGTTGGGATTTGATGTGGAAGGAATCATTTCAGACCAAGGGACGACATTCAGAGGTGCTGGGACAGAGCGGAAATTGAACCATCAGGTGGATTGGTGGCACGTGAAGAAAACGCTCACAAGCTCTTCTGCAAAGAGCTTCAGGATGCCGTGCGGGTGCCGGTAGCCGTGGACAAGGCAAGCTGTATTGAGGAGCTGTGGTTGGCTACGGTGGAAGGGCTGCGGCAATGGTTGCGAAAACGGGGTTTGGAGAAAGAGGCGAAGGCATCGCTCAAATCGGCTCTTGTGCAATCGGTCTGCACAGCCATGGGCACCTTTGCCTACGTGCACATTACACCCGATGAAGCAAAGTGGAAGTTTCCGGAGCTGAGAAATGTGCGACGAGTGGGGGGGGAACAGGGGGTTGTAGAGGTCCCTGTGACTTATGCTGAGGTGCGATCTGGTCCAACAGGAGATAGGCGGACCACTACAATCGATGAAGCGGTTGACGAAGCGGAAATGGGCAACGCACAAGTTGACGTGCAGTGGCCGGATGTGGAGCTTTGGAGTTACGATTTGCATCCAGTGCACGGCGCGCGACCCTCGTCTGTGGCAAGTGCATTCATCGTGCATGCACATGCAGGTGCAGGCGATGTCTCACGGTCAATCGGTGGGACGACTCCTTGGGCCAACGCCGACGATGGCATTGGTAAGAATGCTCACAAAAGTGAAATTTTAACTACTCATGCAGATTGGTTACTCATTCATGTTCCCCTCCAATATTGTCGTTCACCAGGAGACGATGGCATGGGTGGTTCGAACCCACCCGTGACTAACCCTGCAAGCGACAACGTGGATGCATTGCACGATGGTGATGCAGTAGAAAGCGGAACCGGACAGGCTTTGCCTCGGTGGGTTGGGAGCCGGAAACGAAAACGGGGGGACGATGAGGTACACGCAGGCGATGAAGAGAGTACAGTGGCGCAGCGCTTCGGATCGCATTTTTTCCATGTGATGATGCACGCCGGGAGGATGAAGGAAGCGGGCACCCCTATGACTCCTGATGATGTGGCGAGGGAGATTGGGACGGCCCCAAACCATTGGGCGGGTGACCATTCTGGGTGTGGAAAGTTTGGTGGTGTCCCGCCAATGTGTGTTATTGAGAACTGGGGGAGGGAATGTACTCTTTACGCGCCTGGGTCAGAAATGCACAAGGCGGTGCGGGCTTGGTTCGAGAAACGGTTGTCGCCGGAAAAGGTGAAATCCTTTGTTCACGGAGCCAACAGCTCGGTCAATGAGTCATTCCATTCTCTGATCCTCAAATACGCCCCTAAGTGTATTCGGTTCCAGGATAGTCTTGTGCCACGGGTGGCTCTCGCTGTCTTGCACTGGAATAACTCGATGGATAGATTGGTCACTTCCTATCACACACGGGTACGGCAAGTGACGCGGGTGCGTCGGGGCAACAAGGATCGAACACTAGGACCGATGGATTGGTCGTGGGTTGATCGGATCATGGCGGACTGGCAACGATCGTTAGGGGATGGTGTCGACGATGATATTATTGAAGATGCATCTAGGAGCCAAGACACGGAACAGCAGTCCGCTGACATATTTGATTGTGGGGGCCACCCATCTGTACAGCAGCCCGCTACACCTGTGCGACGTAGTGGGAGGGGTCACGGTCGGTCATCGATGCATGGTGCTGCGAAGTGCAGTCTTCTAGGTGAGACTAGTTGCATATTTGCGACTTATCACACCCTATCTCATCATTTGGACCAACAATTCCTGTTTGTGCTACTGTTACAGGTGACATCACCAACTATCCTCAGTAAACGTCCACGACACACCTATGGGATGCAAAAAGGTCCAACATTATCATTTTGGCTGCCACACCGCATCGCTTCCGGCATCAACAACGCCCATGTGCTCGCCCCTGGTAATAAGGAACCCTACCATTGTAATGCTTTATCCTCAAAGGTGAACACTAGTGGCCTTCAAATCTATCCCCCCCTCTCCTCTCCACGCTTCATTGTCTCCCTCATGCCCTTCCCCTTGACAAACAGACTTTTCCTGTTTTATCTCCCCATCCCCCATCCCTGCGATACATCCCATGTCAGCTCCTATAATTGGTCCCGCCAATGCATGGAGTGCCGCTGCTGCCGTACTCGCAGGGGGCAAGGGAGGTGGCAGGGCGGCTTTTCCTGGTGGAAGCCTCGGCCCGCCGGGACGTCTGCCGCCTAGTGGCAAATGACACCTGGTACAGTGCAGGTGACTCTGAAATGTTGCAGTTGACCTTTTGGTGCTTTTGGCATCTGCACTAGTGCATGATATTCCAAGCAACTTCCCCATTCTCTCCACTTCCCTCTCCTCTCTCCCTGCTCCACCGACAACTACCCCTATCCTTACCATGATACCTAGTAGAAGCCCTCTCAAAGACGATCCCCTTGCCTCTTTCCCACCTCCCTCTCTCCCTTCTTTTCCCCCCTTCCCCACCAATCCCCACTCCCCCACGTTCTGGCAGCCGTTGGACGCAATAAGCAGTGAGAGCCAGCTTGTCAATCCTCTGCCCCTCCTCCCGGTTCTCGGCTCCCTTGACAATCTTCGTCTCCTCTGCCCCCCACCCCACTCCCCCCACAACCCCCCCCCTCCCCCCTCCGCAAGTCAGCCATTGCAAAGCTAAAAAAGGAGACCCCTTTGAAATTTCCCCTCTACCCCTCCTTACATTTCACCGACGCCGCCACCCCCCGCCAATCCTCTCTGCTGGGTGTACCTGGACATTTTCAGCTCCACCGTCCCGCGTCGCTCCGCTTGCATCTCACAATATATTGGTGGAATGGCTCCCCGTTTATAGACAACAGCAAGTTGTTCCTCTAAGGGGGTGTCATGCTTGGCGAACTTACAGGTCATTCGTAGCGGTTGACTACGATGTTGTGAGTTTTATATTGGCAAGTGTGCTTCACCGACGTGTAGTGCTATTAGCCGCCTGAACCGTGATTCATGAGCTGTATACTCACCACGTATGGCACCCCTTTACACAATTACCGTACAAATGTTGGATACTAAGCTTGGGGTTGGCAATGTTCCCTATGTTAGGTTGGGGATAATCTTACACAGCTGCATACAAGAACATTTCTTCATCTTGTATTATGCGTAGGAGCTTGGTTCAACACTGAGATATGGCATACTGGTACAAGGATCATACATTGTACATAGTATCATCGGTGGTAAAGCCCATGCGCGCTATAAACCTCCTGCACAAAGCAGGGCACGACCAGCCAGTCAATTCAAACATCCAGCTCACACTGTCTTGTGGAGGTACTTGGGGCAGCGTGCCTTGCGCATGCTGGCAGGCTACAGACAGCCATGATCACAGCTCGCAACCAGTGCAATATGCGGCACACAGCGACATGTCGTGCACAGTAGCCTGACTTGTTGTTGGAGGCCAGATGTTACAGCTCCCAAGCTCTCCTTACACGCAGGGGCGCCTTTCCAGCTAGTGCAGGGCCTTATAGGGCGCTGGTCAGCAGAGGGTGTGGGGCAAGGTTTGTTGCTGAAGGCAGTCTTGAGAGGAGGCTGATACTGCTCCTGCACCGCGGCGTGGCTGATCCATTCGTAGAGGAAAGGGATGGGGGGGAAGTAGGGAAGGGGATGGGGGGGAAGTAGGGAAGGGGATGGGGGGGAAGTAGGGAAGGGGATGGGGGGGAAGTAGGGAAGGGGATGGGGGGGAAGTAGGGAAGGGGATGGGGGGGAAGTAGGGAAGGGGATGAGGGGAGACAGCGAAAGAGGTTCCTGATACTGCTCATGCACCGCGGCGTGGCTGATCCAGTCGTAGATCTGCTTTTGTGCATGCGTGGGGGTGGGGAGCGGGGCGAGGGAGAAGAAGGGAGTGAGTGGAGAGCAAGGTATGAGCATGGCAGGAAGGACAGTGCACAGGCGTGGGATGGGTTGTATTGAAGGATGAGGACATCACCTGGAGATAGTGCATAGGGTATGGGGTAAAGCAAGGGTGGGGATGGGGGGAAGAGGAGAACGGGATGGGGGAAAGCAGGGAATGGGATGGGGGGAAGCAGGGAAGGGGATGGGGGGAAGCATATGTGGGGATGGGGGAAAGAATGGAAGGGGATGGAGGGGGAGCAGGGAAGGGGATGGGGGGAAGCAGGGAAGGGGATAGGGGTGAGCAGGGAAGGGGATGGGGGGGAGCAGGGATTGGGACATGGGAAAGCAGGGAAGGGGAGGGGGGGAAGCAGGGAAGGCGGTGGGGGGAAGCAGGGAAGGGGATTGGGGGAAGCAGGGAAGGGGATGGGGGGAAGCAGGGAAGGGGAGGGGGGTAAGCAGGGAAGGTGATGGGGGGGAGCAGGGAAGGGGAGGAGGGGAAGCAGGGAAGGGGATCGGGGGAAGCAGGGAAGGGGATTGGGGGAAGCAGGGAAGGGGAGGGGGGGAAGCAGGCAAGGGGATGGGGGGAAGCAGGGAAGGGGACATGGGGAAGCAGGGTATGGGATGGGGGGAAGCAGGGAAGGGGACATGGGGAAGCAGGGAAGGGGATGGGGGAAAGCAGGGAAGGGGAGGGGGGGAAGCAGGGAAGGGGATGGGGGGAAGCAACCAAGGGGATGGGGGGAAGCAGGGAAGGGGATGGGGGAAAGCAGGGAAGGGGACATGGGGAAGCAGGGAAGGGGATGGGGGAAAGCAGGGAAGGGGACGGGGGAAAGCAGGGAAGGGCCGCGAGCTTTAATACATTTAGCGAGCTAGCCGAGCAAACTAAAACATATGTGATCAGTTTTACCTACAGAATAGAGGAACTTTTGAGGTGAGCTTAACTAGCAAAACAAAAGACACAAATAGCTGCACAGAATTCTCACTGAATTTCAAAATCTCTGTATTACGACAAGGCACTCTGAGCACACGCTCTCAAAACCAGAACTCGGCTTTGTTAAACCATATTCTCCCGGACAAAACACCCTAGGGTATAGCTAAAAATACAGGGAAAAAATGTGGGGGGGGGGTCTCCTCATAGGAAAAAAATACATAATACCCGGGTCTTTACATATGGCATATTTTTGTGTGAGTGTTTTTTTTAAAAGACAACATGGGTTATTTGAGAAAAGCCCTTAGGATCTTTGCAGGGCTAAACTCTGGGTAAGAACAGTGTAATAGCGGAAGCGTTTAATGATAAGTTCTTGAACCACCTTGCGCTGGTATGTGAGGGCAAAGTAGATTGATCAATCAAAGAGATACAAGGCTTTGATAAGAGTATAAGGAAAGAGATACAACTAACAACAGTTTTACTGTTGCTGTTGCGGTTCGATACAGTGACGACTCGAGCAAGTGCTCAATAACGAGTCAGTTGTTTGTCCTTGCTGTCGCGCTGTACTTGTCAGGTCAAAGGTTGCTGACCTTTGACTTTCGCGTAACCTCCAGCGGTTGCTTTTCTTCTCAACCTCCAAGTGTTGACTCGCCGATGCTTCGCTGTACTTCGCCTCGTTTACGACTTATTGTTTCGATACACAACAGAAGCGCTCAAATTACTTGTTTCCAACACTCCCCTTCGCTTCTGGAGTATCGCTGCTGGTGACGTGGCTTTGTCCAGTCAGCAGCATGCAGTACTCGAACTTCTGTTTTCCGAGTTTCTTGGTCAAGTAATCAGCTGCCATCTCAGACGTGGGGCAGTAGGACAGCTCGAGTCTCCCCTTCGCGATTTCGTCCTTCACGAAGAAATATCGTAGTGCGATGTGCTTCGTCCTGTTCGCGAATCTGCTCTTGTTCGCTATGCGGATTGCTGACTGATTATCGCAGAACAGGGAGAAGCTGGGTAACTGGGCCAGCTTCGCCTCCTCCATCAGTTCGCGAAGGTACAATCCTTCCTTGGTGGCTGAGCAGAGTGCAATATATTCTGCTTTAGCTGAGGAGAGAGCAATTAATTCTTGTTTGCTCGACTGCCACGAGATAGGTCCGATAGGCTCGAGTCGGTAGATGTAGCTGGTGCGCGAGCGCCTGTTGTCAGTGTCGCCGGCGTGATCAGCGTCGACATAGCCGATTAACTTAGGTGTTGTAGTTCCGGTCTTGTGATAGGTTAGGCCGATCGTCGGGGCGCTGACGAGGTAGTGAAAGGCGCGGTCGAGCTCCGCTAGGTGTTCCGCTTCAGGTTTCTTGAGGTAGGTGGCGAGTTGGCTTGCAGAGTATGATAGATCCGGATGACAAGTAACAGCTGCGAAGAGGAGGCATCCCAGCTTTCTCTGATAGTCGGGTATGCCTGCGGGCTTGAGCGGAGCGGAGCCTTCCTTGTGACTTCCGGTGGTATAACGGTATGGCGTGGAGATGGTGGTCGGAGTGAGTCCGAAGCGTTTGGCGATGGTGTCGTTGTATTTCGCGGCGCTGAGGTAGATTGCGCTTTCCTCTTCTTGAATGTTGAGGCCGAGGTATTGCGTGACGGTCGATGACACTGTGAGAGTAAGATCCTGCTGTAGCTTCCCTTCGAACCAGGTAGTAACGCTGTCGGTCGAGCCAATGTAGAGTAGGTCATCTACATAGACGATCAGTAAGATGTAGTCGTCGCCTTTCGTGAGCCGGTACATGCCCTGGTCGTGCGGTAGTTGGCGGAATCCGATGCGGATGAGTCTAGCGTGCAGGTACTGTTGCCACAGTCTCGGGGCCTGTTCAATACCGTACAAGGATTTCAGCAGCTGACAGACTTGGTTGGGCTCTCCGTTGGAGCCGTGTGGTAGTTCGGCGAAGATTTCGGCGTCAACAGGTGCGTAGAGAAATGCATTGGCGATGTCGATTTGCCGCAGCTTCTTCTTCTTCATGGCGGCTATTGCGAGGAGAATTCGCAATGAGGTATGTCGGCTGACCGGAGCGAATGTTTCGGTGAAGTCGCGTCCGTGCTCTTGGTCAAAACCGCGCACGACCCAGCGCGCCTTAAACTTGTCGATGGTGCCGTCTGCCTTTGTTATTACACGGAAAACCCATTTTCCGGTGAGTACCGTTTTGTTGCGTGCCACGCCGATGGGAACGACTTTCCAGGTGTTCCGTTCTTCCAGCGCTTTCAGCTCCTTGTCCATGGCTTCGCGCCATTTTTCCCTATGCTCCCCCCCCCAGAGCCTGCTGAACTGTGGCAGGCTCCTTAGGAATCGCCGTGCCGTGAACTGCGGTGACGAGGCCGAGTATCTGGAGGCCACTCTGTGTGTAGCGGGGAAGTGTCGTGTCCTTGGGATAAGCTGCTTCGTCTCCCGCTTCTGGGTCAGGTATGAAATTGGGTCCTATGCGTTCTGCTTCGTTGGTGTTGACTCTTGCAGGTGTAACGTAACCGTTGTCGGCGAAGTGGTAATATACTTCGGCGTTGACGCTTTCGTGAGGATTTTCGTCATCCATTGGGACATCGATGGAGCAGTAAGGAAGAGGTCCGGCTTCCTCCGAGGCTTCATCCACGTTCTGCTCGTCCCAGTCAGCTTCGTCTGCTGCCGAGGCGAAGGCTCGGTCACCATGAAAACCACCTGTGGGGTCCCGGTCTTCTTCCAGGTTGGCAAGGTACGTCGGAAGTGTGAGTCACTCGTAGAAAATGACATCACGTGCTGCTACTGTTTCCTTTGAGTGGACGTCGAAAATCTTCCACGCGTTGTAATTCTTTTCAATGCCTAGGTGTAGGCCCCACTGTGCGCGTTGGGAGAATCGGCCGGCTCGTGCAGCTGGGGGTCGGTACTGTACCATGCAGCCGAAAACTGTCAACATTTTTGTGCTGCCCTGTTTTCCTGTCCACAGCAGATGTGGTGATGCGTTGTTCGGGAGCGATGATGACGAGAGCAAGTTGTGCAGCATGACATCATGGTCCATTGCTTCGGGCCATTGCTGGTTGGGTAACCGCATGCCACGTAGCAGCTTGC